ACTGAAAACCTTTTTCTAAATCAGTTTTTAATGCTGATTCAGAAAAATATAGTTCGAACCTTCCATCTTGCAATACAAGCACAAAAAGTCAATTTCATCAAAGAGGACGGTTTTTTGTATTTTTGAGATCTTCTCAGTAATTTGAGTTTTACTCCACGAAGAAATGACTTTTGGAGGCTCGGAAGATGTTATTCGTAATCAGCTCGTTAAACTGAATCTGAATACGTATAATAAAGTCAAAAATGAATTCCACTGTAAGTTTGCATTAGCTGAACCTTACACAATATTAGTTATCCTGAGCAAAGCACCTACCCTGGAAAAAAGACTGAATGTAGTGTGAAAGTCTTGTTTGAAGGCTCTTACCTAAGATCGAAAATCAGAGCACCGTTTTCCCTGGCAGTAATTTTTAACAAAATTAATCCGTGAAAATCGGTTCTAACAGCAGCGTTTGTTTTTGATAGAAGGACGAAACGTATGCATGTCGACTGGGAATCGAACTCAGGACAGTGGTATTCACGATCATTGCTCTGACCAGTGAGCTACCCCCGCCTCCCCTCCCCGATAATAGAAGATCACCGCCGAATATATGACTTGAATGGCAAATAGAGACTACTGGTCTCCTATTATGTCCGGGAAAAAAATCGGAAAATGCATATACCTACCTATAGGGGAATTTTGAAAAGAATTTTGCCAAAACGTACTTCTGATAGGGGATAGACTTCAAGTACGTGGGGGTTACCGTTGAACTACTAGCAGACAACAAAATTTGACCGAAATAGAAGGCCACCCTTTAGAACTTGACTTGCGGAACAAAATAGAAGACCAGGTGGTATTTAATAGTGTATTCATAAAAGGAAGAAATGTGTTGTTGAACCAGTTGTTTAAGGGGTACTTCGAGTGCTCAGAAATATGCTTTCCATAGGCCTTCGCCGAGGGCTCGATCCTTCGAAAAATGGCATTTCGGACCCTCGATATAAGCTTTCGAGGGGTATTTCCGAGCCCTCGTCGCATCTCGAGAGAGCGAGGGCTCGGAAGTACCGAACATCTCTATTTGATTGCTCGAAATTTTTCACCAGGGCTCACTACCTATCTGAAATCCGAGGGTTCGAAATTGATACCCCACGAAACCTTATACCGAGGGTCCGAAGTGCCATTTTCCGAGGGGTCGAGCCCGAGGGGTCGAGCCCTCGGCGAGGGTCTATTTTCGAGTACTCGCCGCGCCTCTCGAACGACTTTTCGCATCTGCATGCGTATCAAAGACTGTGTCTCGATAGCTCAGCGGTAAGCGCAATGGTTGTGAATACCACTGTCCTGGGTTCGATTCCCAGCCGAGATGCATACTTTTCTTCCTTCTATCAAAAAAAAAAGCTGCTATTAAAACCGACTTTCACAGAAATCTGCTAAAATTCTCATTTCAAAAATTAATCCATTAATTGCTTGTAAGTACATATTTCAAAGAGCGAGGGAGTTAAATAAATAATAAATTCATCAAACCATGAATTCATATGCATTTCACCAAAAAAATAACTGGTGACGTCGATCCCTAAGGACGACTCTGCTTAGACGCATTGTTTTTCCTTAGCGTTGGATTTCCACGAACAGCGTAACGCCAATCCGGCTCTGTTTGGTAATCGTCTAGGCAATAAGGTTGCCTATGGTTTGATATCAGCAAAAACATTTGTTGATCTACATTATGTATGTGAACATATTGCTAATGATTTGCAGTTAGTAGTTGATGGTAGAAATATTACTGAAGCATTGAGAAAAGCAAGACCAGGTTTGTAGAAAAATAAATAATTTGGATGGTAAGATGGGATGACTAAGTGTTTTTTTATGATCAGATGCTCTATTGATATTGAATATTTCATCTTATGCTGCTGGCACTAACCCATGGCAGGTGAGTGTTAATTATGCTTTAACCTTCTGGATTTCTTGTTCATGGGTATTATCTAGGGTGTCAGATTAATGAATGTGGCTGATGAAGTATTTCAATATTATGATGTTGATGATAGTCAGTTTCGGGATCAGTCTTGTTCAGATGGTTATTTAGAAATAATTGGTTTAAAACAGTATGAGCTAGCTCGGATTCGTGCTGGTGGTCGTGGTCTTCGAATTGCTCAAGGTAAGATGGATGTGCATGCGTATTGTCACTGACATAAATCAGACATTGTGGTGGACTGAAATAGGCAACTGAAAAGAAATTTTCGAAAACGTGCGTAAAAAAACCTAACAATTTTTCGGCTGTTAGACAAAGCGCATGTTAATAGGCCGTAATTTCAAAAAAAATAGCAGAATTCTTTTTGCATTTTTTTATGTGGTTGGATAAAACATATCAAATTCGGTAGCAAAACATCAGTTTCAGTCTTTAGACATACAGAAAAAAATTTCCTGCGAAAAATTACAAAGTTTTGAGTAATGTGAATTAGGTGAGAGGAAGGAAGCCAATAAGCCTACTTTCTCGTCCTAGTTTTTCCAATAGAAATACATTTATATAGGTAACTCAACACCCTGAATAACTTTCTCATTCTAACTTTTTACTCAGCGGCTTGTCCACGTAACACGCTGCTTCGCTGATCAAGTTTTTTTTCATGTTTTTTACTCGATGAATCGATCAGTAGAGGCACATCACTAGACGCAGTTTTGCACACTGATTACGAATCTGACATTTTTTTTCAAAAAAAAAGTGGAGTGTTCATTTAAAAAGTTGAAATTGAAATTTTTTTGAAAAGTTTATTGTCAATTTCCTCCCTAGACACTTTCTTTAAAAAATTGAAATATACACCATCAGATAGAGAATTCAATTCTCTAAGAAATGGTTTACTCAGTTTTTGAGTTTTGAGCCTTTAGAAAAAAATTCAATTTTTTGAAAAGAGTTAAATGTTTTGAAAATATCCAAGAGTGCAATTTTTGAAATTAATGATTCGCAGTGTTAAAATCATTTCCCAACAATTTTCTATAGTGCATTGGAAAGAGTACACAGAAATCCATCTACCTGTACAAAAATGAAATGTTTTGAACAAGATTTAGTGCTCCAAAACGAGATGAGAAAAAAAATGTTATTGCGTAACGGAATAAAACCCTGTTTCAGGTTCGTAGAAAATAGTTAGGAGAAAAACCTTTTTACCAACGTGTAGGTCTTTGTTCGCTCTACAACTCGTGTCTCACTCAAAATTTCCAGAGTGTCTTAAATCACCGAGAAAATCACAGTTTGTTCTGTCCTCCAAAAATTATGGGCCCTTTTTTGTTACTGTGTAACGCGTTATAGAATTCCTCTCTAAGCCGTCAAGCTCAAGCAATTTTTTTTATTTTTTCAGCATACGTAGAGGAAATGGTACTGCATGAAATGGCGCAAGAACCAACTCTCTAGCTCTTAAACTTCTCGAAAAAACCGTGAAGTATTGTGTCAGAAATGTTACTGCGTAACGCTTGGACAAGCCGTCAGGTGACATCGAATTTCTCCCACCTGAGTAAAAAAATGAAAAAACTAGAAAGTATTGAAACTCATATTGAGTGCGCAACACACTCTATCTGTCTGTAAGAAAATTAAATCGTTAGACGACGGTTTAGAATTTAAAAAAATAATAAAAATGAGAAACTGGCTAATTTTTCGAAGTATTACTAAATTTCACAGAATTTAGCATTAGTCAATATTTTTATATTTTTTCCACAAAAGAATCGTTTCGTAAAGATTAAAATTGATGGTTGGTTTTGTCTGGCCGAGCTTTGCTCAACCATATAAAAATGAAAAAAAGGTTTCGCTCCATTGTTGAATTTCCGACACCTTTACTTTATTTATGGAGTAAAATCGAAAAATCTTTTATTATCAGGAGATGAGAGACTTTCTTTGCGATGAAGGTATGGAATTTCAGATTTATTCAGCTTTCCACTATTTCGTCACATAGGGTGTGCCGTAGCTCCTTCTAGTACTACACTGATGTGTGTCACTGTGATATCTTCTGGTACGATACCACCATACTGCTGTGTTTTTAGGGAGTGAAATAATACTGAAAATGTCTGCAAGTTTACCCATGGAAATAGGTAAGACTGTATGTCTTTGGGCACTCATTCTTTAAAGATTATGTGTCGTAGATGGAGAACCATTCATGATGGGACCATGTCAATTGACAGTTACAAGACGAAATCAAGCACGCATGATAATGACTGGAGACAGTGATGCATATCGACAACTACAACCGAATGAAATTTTAAATAAATAATAATAAAGTAAAATGCAACGCATGTATGAACAAAGCGTCAGTAACGTCTACGAAATTATCTTTTTTTTTGCTTGGAAGTCATTATTATGTGATTTTCTAAAATGTGATTAAGGAAAAGTATATATTCAAACATTAGAAAGTTGAAATATTTGTTGCCTAAGCAAAAACATATGTCGGACGTATTCGTGTTTGCACATCGAAGCCGGCGAGTATTTTAACTGAAAGCTAACGTTTCAAACTCGTTCTTACAGTTAGTCGGACTTGCAAGGTTGAACCGTACCAAGTTTCATTTGATAGTTTGCTCAGCGAGATCTAAAAGAAACTGCATTCAAAAGTCTGCCATATCAAACGTCAATTCACAAAATAGTTTCGAAATGATAACGGTAATTTGAAATATTACTCACACACAACTTGGACTTGAACCGGATCTCGGAAATAAATGCGCAATGTGCTAGATCAAAAAAGAACTAAACAAATGAAAAGCAGTAAGACAGCAGAGATTGTAACTTGAATTATCATCACTGTTTCACAACACAGCCGAAATCATCCACGAACTCATGCACAAGTTAACAGTTAGTAAATGTAGTTACGAAATTAACTAAAATCGACTACTCCTTTCAAATTTATGTTTAGTTAAGTAAAATCAGAAAGCACACGTAAACAAATTAAAATACAACCGAAAATAAGACAAAACTTGATGATCAAGTGTATAGAAACGATTAAAATTAGAAATACAAAAGGTCAAAGCAAAAGTTTTATGTTGTTTATTTTTACAACTCATGCACAGTTTATTACCTGCGACTATCGGCTATCGTTGGTACACTAATAAACTTACTACTGCGTTAAAGATTGTTACAGAGTGTATAACTGCATTTGTTTGTTACAATCTTTTCACGATTCGAAAGAAAAGTCCATCAGCACATCGGTTTACGTAACAACATGTGGTGGAGAAGAGATAGTCTATTTATACCATCTGTGAGCAGAAGGACAAATTCACGAGTTACATATCGAAGGAAATACATAACTTGAGCGTGATCTTTGATCGAGAAACTGAATTTCACCCGTACCCAAGCAACTCAGAGATGCAGAGTCAACTGAATAGGTGCTGTTAAGTCAGCTCACGCTTAGGCCGCCGATGCAAACAAACAAAACTGCTGCTGGACCATGCAACGTCACGATGTGGACTTACAACAGACAGAATTAGTGTAGGGAGGCTATTTTTAACTCATTCAACAGCATTAATTATTAATAATCTCACATGCGTTAACCGATTAAAAAAGAAAGTTCTAATACGTTGACATGCGCTAAATTTAGCATACTAAAGGGAACTCTATTAAAAAGTCGTTAATGCGTTGAAGCGAATTAAAATGGATAGCTTAATGTGCTAGGCTTGTGAAAAAACGCGTTTTAGCCTCATATTCATCTTTTTAAGGTATTTCTTGCGTTAAAATGGAATTAAACAAAAATGCTTTTAACACGTTTGAATAATTTTGACTTTTCATGCCGGATAAGCCCGATACTGTTCAACGAGTTAAAACTCTTTTAATATACTTTACCGTTTTAAATTTCTTAATATATACAAACACATTAAACTTTAAAGCATCCTAAGACCTCGAAAACTTTTAGTTTATGTGCATTAAAACTGTACAAGGTGCCAGAACCTCGTTTGTGTAGTTCACCTTGTGCCTTGTCGGGATCGGCTAGATAAGGAAGATCATCTGTGAAGAGCGAGGATAGAGAACAGAAAAAAGACTTTGATACAAGTCATTAATAAGGATTAATAATAACATGAGACGAAGAATACACGCTTGAGGCACTCCAGAAATAACAGAGGCAGAAGTAGATTGAACAAATCCCACTGTTGCTATCTCAGTACGCGCAGATATGACTTGAACTAGTCAGAGGACCAGAAACAGTGGCCAAGAATTTCGTCTGACGCATGGTCGTATGTTTTTCGAAACCGAAAGAAATGCCACCTACTTTTTGGCGAATATTTAAACGTTTATAGATCGTATCGGTGACGAATAGTAGTGCATCTTCTGTCAATGGGTTTGCACGAAAGCCAGATTGATTAGGAGAAAAGAAGTTCGTAAACGTTAAACGAGAAAGAAGTAGTTTTTAGACAATTTTTTCGAAAAAACTTCACACACGTTAGAAATAAGAGAAATAGGCCGATAACTTTTAACAGAAAATTTACTTTCTTTTTTATGAATAGCACAAACTACTAACTGCTTCCAAAATTTCGGAAAAAGTCCTAGTTTTAAGGAAATAGAAAAAGTATGATGTTATTGTGTTAAAGAATGTCAGCATAAAGTTTTAGAAACTTAATACGGATTTGATCAACACTTACAGAAGTATTTTTCTTTAGTTTTGAAATAGAAGAATAAATATCAGACACATGAGAAAAATTTCGGAAAGAAGTGTTGGAGAAGTCACCACCGCCGTGGCCGGAAATGGTACTGAAATACTACAAAAGGTGGTTTGAAAATCCTCTGCTAAAAGCTGAGCTTAAGTTTGATTGTCTGTTGCCGTAGAGAAATTGTTACGCAGAACAGCAGAAAGATCACATTCTCTTGAGCGGTATTCATTAAGTGAAGATCAGAAACGCTTTCAGTTCGAAAAATGTTCATTATAGACAGACAGAAATTATTTTTATCTTTACGCAAAGACTCGACAGAAAGATTACGGAACTGCTTGTAAATTTTATACATATAGAAAAGGTGATGCTTAATTTTTGATTTCTGAAATATAGTTTTCTTTTTGCGATTTACGAATCGCGTTTGATGAGAAAGTCGAAAACAACGTTTTTTAACTTTATTTATGCGTAAGTTTACATTAGTTCCAATGGTATATGATGAATTGAAGGAAATATTTCCAGGGTTTGTACGTTAACATTAGCACGCGTAGTTAAGGGTACCCCTCCCTCTCTTTTGTAAAATTGGGCTAAAAGTGTGGCAAGTTCGAAATCAAAATTCGAAAGTTGGATTTTGCTCGAAATCCAGATTTTGAGCTGAGCATATAGAGGAAAGTGTGGGCTACAAAATAAAACCACTCCCGTAACTCCACGACCCTTATTCAAAAAGTTATGAAAATTTTGAAGTTTTTCCTTCAAAAGCTAAAATAACTCAATTTTCTGGTCTCATATACTTTTCTTTCATTTTCTGTACATGCATAATTTTTCTTACACGTCGTCTGATAGAAGAAAGTGTTTTCTTCACAAGAAGAGGTTTTACAGAATTTTCCGATGCGCTTTCGCGGAAATGTAAGCATCGCGGCAAATGCTCTGAAAAGGTGACCTATGTACAAAATGCGTTTTTTCTCGAAAACTATGTTTTTGCTACCGGACTTCATTGTGCCACATTATAAACCTCCTTAAATTTCATCCGATCGAGTTAAAAATTTTACCATAGGTACTCAAGATACTATGGCAGAGGAGATTTTTTGGAATTTTATTATAGATTTTTCTGTACCCACTTATAGGGTTTCTAAAATTGAAAAACTTGGTTTTTGAGACGTTTTTCAGTATTTTGCAGCATGCAATGTACCGACCTTCATATCAGCAAAACTAAGGGGAAAGCAAGCGTAGGGCTTTCAGTACATTGAATACTGATTCACTAAAAACTACTGTAAAGAGCTCGAAGACGTCTCATTTTCTTCAGAAATGTTTGCTCAACAGAATGGACTTTTTGCAACGAATTGTGAGATTGAACTCTGGAAGTTGGTTTTCTGAGATTTTGGTTTTCCAGAGACCCTGGTTTAAAGAGCGTATGATGATGTATGATTGATTAGAGATCATCTTTAGTTTCATAGAGAAAAGTGATCGACAGTTCGAGTAGCATTGACCGGCGGTTGCGGCGACCTAGGAAAAAATCTAGTATTTGATTCTAACGGCCGCTGCCAAACTTCATTAAGTTTCCTATTAACACATATTGTAGAGCTTTTCATGGCGCATCGAATGATGTATGAATGATTAGAAATCAACTCTAGTTTTAGAAAAGAAAGTGAAAAGAAGTTCGCTTAGCATAGCCTTGACCTATCGAAAAGTCTAGTATTAAATTCATAAAACGTGCTGCCACACTTCGTTAAACGTCCTATTAATACATATTGTAGAGCTTTTCAAGACGCATGGAATGATATATGAATGATTAGAGACCAACTTTAGTTTCATAGAGAAAAGTGACCGACGGTTCGAGTAGCATAGCGGCGACCTATGAAAAAATCTAGTATTTGATTCATAAAACCTACTGTCAGGATTCATTAAGTTTCTTATTAACAGATATTGTAGAGCTTTTCATGGCTCATCGAATCATGTATGAATGATAGAGATCATCTTTAGTTTCATAGAAAAAGTAAACAATAGGTCCCTTGGTATAGTCTTGACCTATCGAAAAGTCTAGTATTAAATTCATAAAACCTGCTGCCAGACTTCCTTAAGTTTCTTATTAACATAGGTTGTACAGCTTTTCATGGCGCACCGAATGATGTATTGTGCTAGGCTTAATATAGGATGGTTACTGAGAAATGTTGATTTTACAGTCATACTGTTGGTACTAAACTGTTGCTTGGTTTCAAATAGATTCTGTCGGGTATATTCGATTGAAAGCGTTCGGAAGGGTCGAAATCATCGAATATGATAATCGGATGTGATTCTAATGAGATTGGAACCGATTAGAGAGGTTATTGTTAGTGGGCCGATTACCGTTCTTATGCGGACTTCACCTTTCTGGCTTACTCAAATAGTTTGTATAGTTTGTTGGACTTTCGTGAAAGTAAAACAAAAGTTACTATCCATGCCTTCACTACTTCTACGTTTTAAAAAAGGACTCTTTCAGAAAACCGAGAATGGATCCGTCTGGGCATACTTTTTCTTTTTTCGACCTGGAAAGATACATTTAGACGCGTTCGAGCGCTTTTTTTTCGAAAAAATAAAACAGAACTGATCTGAACATTTGCCTGTGTGCGGAAGTGTGATATCTAACTTTGCACAAAAAGAAAAAATAGGGATGTATCAAATAAGATGTCTTTCCTTTCTTTTCACTAATTTAATTCTCAAATTTTCACGAAAAATGAAATCGACAATTCGAAAAACTAAGTGAGCCGTCTTGTGCGGAATTTAATGTTGACTCAAAATATATAAAGGTATTCTTAGGTTAAATAGTGCATCACACGACGGAAAAATCAAAAATTCTATCGTGTGAGCGCCCCATTGCAGTTCCGTAAGGGTGCAGTTCGATAATGCTTGATGAGTTCCACCTACCCATTAGGTTTATTTTCAAAAACGAGGGTTGCAGGTGTGCAAATTTTGCACTGCAAAACACATTATTCTTGGCTTTCGTTACGGAATTTCGCATAAAATGTAGGTGATTCACGAGCTTTGTTTCTCACTCCAAATGCATCGATTAGTTCTACAACTAACAGATTCTGACGAGCAGATGCTTTTCTGTCTGTGAACATCAAATTCGACGTATTTTCTATCTATTTTTAATTATATTTTTATTTTTTATTTATCGAGAAGGAAGAGATTTTTCATTTGCAAGATGAACAGAAACAAAAAGCAAAATAAACATTAATGATTTAAACTATATGAGAGAAACGTAACTTTCGAGTACAATTACTTGTTTAGATATGTTTCTATAATAACTCAGGTTACAAGAGGCTCGCTTGAGCAAAATTTTTCCTGTGCTTTGCCTAGTACTTTGCCCACTTCTACAAAAGTTTTCTACTCGATACGTTCTTTCGTTGCAAAGTTATGGGACTCGAAGTTGAAAAAACTTAATTTTCTGATGACTCATCATCTGAAAACTGAATTTTTGATTATATAAAAAGATACAAAAAGAAAAGGAAAGCAACGCATCCTGTAGAGAATTGAATTGTGAATCTAACTATATGATTAGTGTTCAACTTTGTTTACTTTTTTTTGTTGTTCTTTAGATATAATCATTTTACAAGCTCTAAAATCTATAATCTTTGCTAAAATAATGGATAATTCTGAAAGTAGAATCACATAACGAAATTCGGACTTTTTAGATTTTAACACTAAAGAATGAAAAAACTTTTCTGCGGTTTTTCGCCTTGACGCATTTGCTCACAGTTCCACTGTACTGCTCGAATCATTCTCTGTCGAACGATGTAAAATATATCTATTTCAATCCTTTTTCTAGCAAAATCCTGCCAAAAATTCTCTATGGCAAAAACTGAAAATTGTCTCCCTCCTAACTCAGCCAGTATGAGTCTGGCAGTTGGGAAATTTTTATAGGATACTCGGCAAAGACAGGGGAACAAAACGTACCATTCAAATTTTTTTAATGAACACTTTCATTTTTTTTTATCGATTGTACCAGAAAGTTACGTTTCTCTCATATACAAACTTTTGTTCTCTCCCTATTCTCAACAACATGTTGCTCATCATAACGTTCACGAAATTCGACATGAAATATGCATATCTGCGGGTAGTGTACAAAGTCTAGAAATTATTTCTTTCAAAAAGTAAAAGCCATTTGTTTTTCTATTCCTTTACGCCTCTATCACACAGATGTCTGTCGTGAGATTTCTTTTTTATGTAACATACACATGGTTATATTTCTTAATGTTTTTCAATAGCACGTACGGTAAGAAAAGAAAAAAATACCTAAAATCACGATACAACTTTTGTGAATTTCATATATCGCGTTACAAGTATAAAGTAAAGAAAAGTGGGAAAGAGAGCGAAACAATGTTGAGAAAAATAACTTCGTTGACTTGAAGAACAAAATTAAGAATAAAGGTGTTGCGACTTATTTTGCTATGATTTATAACTTTTACCTAGAAACAAGTTGTTTGTAAGTGGCAAACAGTCCAGATATTATCTTAAACTATCGAGAGTTACTTTTATGGTGTTGTCTTTGAACAGCAGAACCGAAGAAATACAAGAAAGAATAAATTCACATGATTCTTATTTGTAAATAAACGTAAACAATAAAAAAGCTGAGAAAATACTTCGCTCTTGAACACGCTTGATTCAGCAAATTATTGTTTCACAATAAACTAGGACAAAATCACCTGAACCATGTCACGATTACATCGATCTCCAACGCCAGCGAGACCTACTTCATTTTGTAGAGCGCTGTGAGTTGAGACGATACGCGACAACTGTAGGTCTGGAATAATGCGCTTCAGAAATTACAGGCATGTTATTGACAAAGTAGTGCCGTTTTCGAGTTTTTTCAGCAATTTGTGCCCTCATTGTAAAGCCTCCATTCTCTAACGAAAATTCTTGCCAGTGGTCTCAAATGAAAGGGCGTTCGGAAGATTCTCTCGTTAATATTAACGTATAAATTCGTGAAAATAACACTGTATATGTTATTTTTGATATTGAATCCAAATAAATTGTTTAGCAAATTTTATTCTACAGGTCGTTCCATTTATTTTGAAACAAATTAACAAGTTTTTATTGTATTATTTTTATACGTTTATTATAATAGATGTTCAATGTGTGATCCATCAGCATAGTAAATTAACCTACATGCATCACACATTGAATATCTATTATAATAAACGTATAAAAAAAATAAAAAACCTTTTAATTTGTTTCAAAATAAATGGAACGTCTTATAATCCTACCATGGATGAACTTTTCCCGTTCATCTATGATAGGATTAGAATAAAATTGTTATTGTATTTTTAATAGTAATGATGCTAAACTCCTAAGAATGTTTCATTTTGCGTTTTTCCTTTTTGAGATATGGTCCTTGATTTTTGTACAAAAGACGGTTTTTTCCGGTTCACCGTAGAAATGTGAATTTTGGCACCTTTATTATTTATGCGAAACAGTTGACCGCTAAATACAATATCATTGGAATTTCGCATAATATGAAATGCCTCAACGTATGAATTGCAGATTTAGGTAACATTGAATAAAGAGAGATATTTCGTAAGAAGTTCGCCACTTCATACAAAAGCCGGTCAAATAAAATCAAAATTTTAGAATCATGTGCTCTTCCTTTAACAAAAATGTCTATCCAAAAAAAATTTGAAAAACCCGACAAGATGGTTTGCATAGAATCCCTGTAATTTAGTCAGCACTTTTTGAGACCTTAGTCTCTTTGTAAACCAGATTAGATCGAGGACGAATACATTTGATACACATCTATAGAACGGAGATGATTCAGTTTTTTGCTCACAACACAATTTTTACCTTCATTCACTGCCAACAGCATAAAAGTACTTTTCTAGTGTCTTAATTTATTGATATCAGTACGAAGAGAATATGGAACATTCTGTTTCAAACTGTGCTTTGAGTTGGCACATTTATCTGTACTTTAGGAATTTGTCATCCATCGCAAGATATTTTCTGATCTACAGCAGTAATATTTCGAAAGTTACATCACTTTTTCACTTAGAACAAATTAAAAATAATTCATAGTTCTCAGGAGAAAAATTCATAATTTTGCTTTACATTTGTGCCGTTTATCACTGGTCTTCACAGAATACCAGCCGAAATTTGATTTAGATCATTTTTGAGCAGACGACAAAAGTAATCGATCGCCAACGAAAAAACATCTAACACAAAAGCGTTTCAACACTCAAAGAACTGGTTTAAGAGTTTCATGACTGTCAACAATTATTATGCGTAGACATCTGGAATTGCCTACCGTGAGTAATGTCCATCACATCCTTCCAGATCTGTTTTTTACATTATACTTTATTTCTGAACATGAAAGCATTACAGTGTCGAGAAATAAAATAAGAAACAACGAAAAACATATCTGAACGCAGTCGTTGCTAGCCAAGGTTAGGAGATTTTATTAGAAAAAAGATGAGTAATGTCAACACTAGATAAATAATAATTGATATTAATGAAATTAATTCAATTCGTTTTTCATTCATTTTTGATGTAATAAATGTAGGTATTTCACACATGTATCCAGCAGCTAGAATACCCATGAGTGCACCACCCACATGCCCTGCATGATCGATACGCCCACTGAAATCGATATCGGTAAAAAAACTCGTGACAAAATAGGGTATAACGACAAACATAACTAACGTCTGAATGATTTTATCACGATAATCACGTATTGTAAATATACACAATATATTGTCGATTAGGCAAAACAATATCAAGCCATAAACAGCACCCGATGCACCGACGGATACTAAAAAGAAACAAAATTGATGTATGTTTGATGTAAACCAGTAAGTGAAGATATTTTTTGAGGAATTTAACTTTGGCATATCCATGATCGCTGATATCACGAACTACATGGCATCGATTCAAAAAGATTTTTCTGGACAAAAACATTTTTTATAAAACCGCTTGAGGGGATCGAAAATTCTTAATAAAACTTTTGCATTAGAGAAAGATTTATGAAATGTATCATTCTATGCAGTTTCTCACATAAATCACCAATCCAACATTTACATTAATGAGAGACGCTTGAAAAGCAACATATCTTTGAAATGCTTCTGAAAATCAGGTAGCCCTCTTCCGTCAAGAATTTCTCAAAAACTGCAAAAGTGCTATCTCAAGGTTTTCTGAACAACGTCCAAACTTAATACTGTTCGAAAATACGTATGACAAGGCATCGTTTTACGGAACAGAAACTAAGCAAAAATGTACGAAGATGTAAAGAAAATCATTTCAGTCAAGGTGGATTATCAACGTTGTTTTTCCCTAATTCTTAAATAGGTTGAACAAGCAAAAAGTATACCGTTCAGTAGGATCTGAAATACTGATTCTAGTTCCACAGATACATTTTGAAATTTGAAATTTAAAATTTCTTACGCATGCCTTATTAATACTACTCGGTAGTTATATTCTTCTTGCAAATACATGACCTTTTAACTCTTTTCCATTATCAAGAAAGGCGATTCTGAAATTGCCCCGCCGCAAGGCAGAGATGTACAACTCGATCAGATGATTGGGTACGGGTACGGATTCCATTTTTTTTATTTATCCGAAAACCGAGAGATTTTGGTGAAACATCACAAAAGTTTAGTAGAAAAATACAAGATTTAACTAAAATACATGAAGTTTTAGTAAGTAGTTACTAAAGAACGTAATGACGATTATTCATCCTCAGAAGAAAAACAAAAGTTTTTAGCTGAAAAATGAAAAGGAGGAAATTTTTAGGCATAGGTCGGGTACGGATACAAAGTTCTCGGGTCGGATCAGCTACGGATGGAAAAAAATGTTCGAGTGGGATACGAAAACAGTATCCGTGCACATCTCTAACACAAAGTAACGAATTCTCAGCTCTGAAACGCTTTTCAAAATATATAAATCAATGATATCTTACCACTTTTCGGTAGAAATAACGCACTCAAGATATTTCCGCTCAAACCGAAAAGAATATAGCCAATAGCAAACGCTTTTGTACCATATTTTCGTTCTAATATAATACCCGTTAATAGTTGAAAGATTAAATTGTTCATTAAATGTCCCCAACCACCGTGTAAAAATATTGGCATAAAAAATCGATAAAATTGATATGGATATAGAAATGAGTGACACTGCAATTTTAACGATTGATCAAAAAGTCTTGATCGCGGTGGTTTCATACACGGTACATATTTTCCACCCATTTTTATTAACGTTGAAGACGATAATTTAAAACCACGATTAACAATATATGTAATGATGAGTAATAAAACATCGACTGCACTAACAGCAATAGTGAATATTGGTCGTTGAGGCAACTTTGATGATGGTATCGCTCCTGGGACAGATGAGTCAGAGACGACTTGAGTTAATCCAGTACCATTGAAGTTATACGTGGTTGTCGTCGGAGAATAGGGTGGAGAGATTGATGATGATGTTGTAGGTGATGACCTATTGAAAGTTTGAGTGATTTTTTTGAACATGAGTCCACTTCTACGTATCTGAATTATTGCATAAAATAAAACTTATTATTTCTACTTTTGTCTTCTTCTCGATCGAAACTGACAGCACATTTGTTTTTTTGATCCTTTTACCATACCGAACAAGGAGAAAATAAATACTCTTTTTGTTGATAGAAAGAAAAAGAGACTTCATTTTTTTTTTCTTTTTCTCTGCTCGTTAGTAAAATGTGGTAGAATGAAAAAAGAAAGGAAGAAAATAGACATATTCTAGTCTATGAGACAGAATCTTATTCTTTTTTCTCGTCAGACTTTTCTATACGTTTTGTACTGACGCATTTATGCTTATATTATTATTACATAAGAAATACAACTAAATATACATCTTTAAATATACAGAAAAAAGAAGTATATTCTGCAGAAAAATGATAGTACTGATACTGGAAGAATAATAATGTTTATGTTGGGTTCAATGCTTATCAAATCAATCAGTAAGGTTCACATACAACTCGTTTGTCTCTATACTGAAAATTTTCATATAAAACGAATGTACAAAATTAATACCTTTTGAGTGAGTGTAAGCTAACGTATCTACATTTGGCTGAAAGAACTCGTTGCACATAAACTGGTAAAGTATTTTAAAATAGTCTTGCGAAGAGTGAAACCATAATAGTTTCTTTAAAAGCATAGGGTCATACAAAATTGATGTCGGCAGCGACCGACCGATGTAAGTAAAAGAAGCGAAAATAACTGACGACCGAACTGTTTTTAGATTACATAATTTTTCCTTTGACTGAACGTCTAGAGTTATGTAACATTAATGTGGTTGGTTAACTGATAAAAGTGAAAAATAAAGGTACTATGCCAATGGTAAAGCATGGGCAGATGAAGATTATAGGGAAGAGATCACGACGATAAAGAAGCCAAAATTGGTCACGAGAGAGGGTTACAGTGTGGATTTTTCCATAGGCCAGGCGGACATTTACTACACAAGCAGTCCGAATGTCTATAAACACATTTCTATAGGTTTTCAGATATGCTCTTTCCAATGATGTGCTTTACGACGTTTCAAGAGATTTTCATCTGATTTCTCGAGAGATCGGCTCTCTAGAAAACCCGAGGGTGAGCCCTACGAGCGTTGCTAAATGGAAAGGTCTTGACGACGAAAAATAAAAGATCGGAGTCATGCCATTTTTAATTAGTTAGAGAAATATTTGAACTGAACTTAAAGACCAACTACGATGAAAGAATACTCAGCTCTTAGAAATGCGTTTTTCAGCTGCAAATGTTCAGCCATCTAAATGTAGCAATGTCCTCTTTCAAAGGCTCCACATTTATTATATACCATTCAAGTCATCTGTGTTTGGCAAACCTGACTGCCTATGTGTGAAGGCTTCAAACAGACTTTTTTTCCTCTGTTCGAGAAAGACATCCATCTTCTAATTGTCGAATAGTCTAACATAAGTCTGAAAGCACTGGAGAGTCCAAAATACGGTAGTTTATAAATATTTATAACTCCCAACTTTTTTCGGTCAATTTTCCAGCGGAAAACCGTTTGTAAACCCATTTATAAATCAAATATTTATAAATAAACGTTTATAAATCGATTTATAACTATTTCGGACTTGTCAGTGTCTGAAAGTCTTGTTTTCATGTTCATATCCTTATGTCGCACTCAGCATACTGTTTTCAATTAACAGATATTGTTATTTAACCAGTTATTGCAGTCAAGTTTATTAATTCACAAATTTGATATTCCGATATTTGACCAAACAGAAGAGGCATAATGTAATTTCGGTAACAGAATATTTCAAGGCTTCATGATTGAGATCACTTTTTATCATTATTCATTAGATTTAAAAAAGTGCTTTCAATTTGAAAGGAAAATTTTACAGTAGAAAAGCGGTTTTAGTTTGGAATGCATATATTCTCTCGTTTCTTATACAAATAAAATGTGGTCTCAATTTGGAACAGAATTTGTTCTTTTCACATATTTTGTACACCGTTTATAATTTCGAATCACTCTTTAATTAGGAATGATAGGCTACTATAGACACACAAAAATATCGCAAAATAAGAAACACAACACTGAGAAGACATGGATGTAAACGACGTTGGGTCACTACTGATATATGGCTTGCTCACGTAACACGACACTTCGCTAATCAAGTCTTTTTTGAATTCTTTTTCATTGGAAAATCGATAGGGGCACATCACTAGAGCGGGCACGTCACATCACGCAGCTTTTCATACTGATCGCAAATTTGACTTTTTTTTTTTGATGAAAAAAATTAATTTTCAATATAAAAGTTTCTAAAAACTTTAATTTCAACTTCCTAACTTAGACATTCTATTCAAAATATTTTAAAAACGTGTCACTGAATAGAGAATGCAGTTCTCTATAAAATGGCTTAATTTGCTTCGAGATCTATTTTTCGGTCGATGCACAGTGGCTACTTGAACGTTTCACCTTCCGCCTCGGTCTGAAAGCCTCAGAATTTTTCGAACTTTATTTTCAACTCGAGCCTTTTAAGAAACCTAGAACTAGACAGACTCTAACGAGAGAACCTCCCGAGGTGATAAATCGCTTTTTGATCGACATCTAGTGGGTTATAGGTTATCCACCATGCTGATTCCGAATATGACCGTGGAGCTTCCATAAAGCTCTTCGAAGATCCAGTCTTCTGGAACACTAGTTTTTCAGAAACCCCAAAAAATAACCCAAGCTTTTCTTAACAATTCAGGATTGTAGCGCGCAAATTTCTGATTAACATGAAACATCCCCCAGCTCTACATGACCTTTCTTTGCAGAGTTATAGACTTTATAAGAAGAGTCCTAAATTGTTCATTGTCAGCTAAAAGCTACAGAAATAAGAAGGAAAAAATTAATTTAGGGCTCTTCTTATAAAGTCTATAACTTTGCAAAGAAAGGTCGTGTAGAGCTGAGGGATGTTTCATTTTAATCAGAAATTTGCGGACTACAATCCTGCATTACTAAGAAAGACTTGGGTTATTTTCTGGTGTTTCTGAAAAACTGGTTTTCCAGACGACTGGATCTTCGAAGAGCTATGGAGAAGTCCCATGGTCATATTCGGAATCAGCATGGTCGATAACCTATAACCCACCACATATCGATCAAAAAGCGATTTATCACCTCGGGAAGTTCCCTCGTAAGTATGAAGTTTTTAGAACAACGCTTAGTGCCTAAAAATGGTGCGATAAAGGTGCGTGTGCTAGCTTGTGGTAGATTTAAAAGGATTCCGTGATCCCCTGATATAGCTAATAATACTTAAATCAAAGTATTAGTGATAGTAATATATTGAGATATCAATCAAAAATGGTATAATAAAACAAGCAACTGCGTTAATGTCACACACTTACGTAACCTACACTCTTTCTGCTCTCATACACACTCTACTATAAAACAGAAAAATCGTATAATATATATACTAAAGATAGAGAAAAAGAGAATAGTCAAAACATACAAAGGGAGTTGAAATACAGTAAAGATATAAAGACTGCTACTTGAACTATGTCCAAAAAGGAAGAGAAGCTCGTGTCCTGACATGTGAGAGGAAAATCCCATGCCTTGATACGTGCGAAAATAGGAAAAGTAAAGAAACTAGACATAGGACTAGTGCAAGAAGTCTCTAGACTTAATAGTGTGTCACAGCGTTGCTTTACAAAAGCGGCTTTTCTAGGGGTACGGAAGGGTTTGGAAAAAAGTTTTTTATCAAATGGAAGCTTCGTCAACTCCTCTACAAACTGGCTTCTAGAAACTTTTGAGATGCTCAACTCAATTCGCAGGAAATCAGAGCTGTACGAAGAGTTCCCAAAAACTAGGGACCTTTTTTCACAGTGTTACTGGGCGAAAAATCTTTCTGGAAGCTGGAGTCTTGAATCGAAAATATGCATTTCTATGTCGTAACTAGAGGTTGATGAGCTACATCGAATGGCGCCAGCATGAACTTTCTAACTCATGCAGTTTTCGAGAAAAATGTAAATTACTGTGTCAAAGATGTCATAGCGTTACCTTTGGAGAAGCCGCATCGTACACTAAAAATATGTGTGTCTTCAGTGGAAAATTATTCACCCTCCTTTGAAAAAATATCCATTTTCGAACAAAAATTGATATAAGTGAAATACTTTAATTTAGTTTATGTGGCTGCCTTGAAATGACCACGCCGAGGTGAAAAAACTCAGTTGAGTCATGAAAAATCCATTTCTTATGTTAAAAAGTTCCATTTGCCCTGTTTTCTCGCACTTTTCGAAGTATGAATCTAAACTTCAACATGAGCTGAGTCGTACAGATCAAGACATATATTCGAGCTTATTACAGGTGGAAAAAAGACGAAACATAGGTTCCATTTTTCTCCAATATTTGTTAAAAAATCCAAATTGGGAAAATTGTTTCGAATGATAAAATTCGAATCCATCTTCATAGACGGATAGGGCATATCAAAATGTACTAGAAAATATCGAATACACAATAGCAGAACTCATTTTTGTTCAGTTATTCTCGTTAGAACAAATCACAGAAACAGCTTGGACTTGAAGTAGGTGTCAAATAAAAAAAGTTGCGTCATTCCCAAGTACAACTTAATTAAACCTTCTTTTCTTGCTCGACGCTTCTCATGGCTAGTCTACAAAGGTTTGCGCAAGAAATGATTTAGCATCGGAAATACCTCCGCAAGCTTGGTGCGAACTTTTTCATTTGAATCGTATTTCAAGTTAATGATGTTTGAGCTATGATTTTGTTCTAACGCAACAAACTCGACAAAAATGAGTTCTGCTTTTGCGCTCTCAATAATACATGCAACCAGAGGGATACACATTCACGTACCCATAACAATTTCATGAACAAATGATAATACCAAGGTACCGTTGGCAGCGCATACCAGCAAGCTCCATGAATGCAGTTCAAAAGCAGCCAGCTAAGAATAAGTGCACAGTGGGCATCAGAGCTCCGTATGGACTCAAATTTTTGAGTCCAGTCCAGTCCGAGTCCATGAAATCCAAAAATCTCAGTCCTGTCCATACGGAGCTCTGGTGGGCATCCAAGCGGACATTAGGCGAAAAAGTCGATTTATTCTTTTTCCAAATATAAATAGTGTAAAATGTAGCCCTTTGAATTCTCTATCGAATGGTGTATGAATGTCTATTTTGATGTTCACTCCTAAGTGGAGAAACAAGGACACGAAAACTGCAATACGAATATCGAAAACCATGACATATATGCACAAAAATGTAATTTTTTCTTCACACAGCTGCTTTCATTGATTGGAAAGGATATATTCGGAATCAGCATGCCCTCACCTATCTATTGATATAAAAATGTCTACATTTCCATATCGAATTCACTAAAGAATCGGTAATGGCGTATACCCAGTTTCATTCGAGCTGACACGACCTCAATATAGTCGAGTTCCATGATTTGCAGCGCTGGGTTGTGGAGGCTGTAAATGGCGTAATCAAGAGGTGGAAATACTTCGCCAATGTAGTATCAAATTTGAATATTCCACACATCGAAAGCGATTTTAGAATTGTTTGCGCATTAATAAATAAA